TTTCAAGTTTATTGGGTATAGTTAAAATTTATGTCTAGATATCGTAAAAGATCAAATTTATTTAATTTCTTTAACATTTAAGGAACACAAAGCTACAACTAAACCATAATTCTAAACATGCTAACATAAAAAAATAAATGTTTTTACAAAGTATTGCAAGTGGTACAAATTAGCAAACCAATTCGGTAAATTGTACCACTGGGTCGTAAAATCGTACCATTCTAGAGATATTAGTTTTGCTGACAATTTGGACAATTGTATCGCTTCAAAGATCTTCCGCCTATAGTACAGCTCTCATGCGCCCACTTTTTGCACCTCATGCATTGCACCATGTCCTCAATAGCGATTTCCTCACATATTAAACATAGCCAATCACCTGGATTAACATCAATTTCTACTTCTTTGGAAATCGGCTGCATTGTTAGACCAGACGCTGATGCAACTGGGTTTTTGATTTTGGAAATTTTTTTTTGTCGCCCTTTTGACAATTTTCGTTTAACTGTAGAAACACGAGGCGTTACCCTAGTTTCGATCTTCTCCTCCAGTTCTTTCGTGTATGGGGTACTAGTTAAAACAACTGCTGACTGACTTTGTTTTCTTTTCTTCAGTCCTTCGCGATGTTGAGGAAGTGGAAGGATGTTTAGCACAGATGCATCGTTCTCGTCGGGTAGAGTCTCTTGATCAATGGGCAGTTGTTCAGGTTCCGGAGTCGACTCTTGCCTTCTTATGGTGTCATCTAACAAAGCTTCTGCGGGAGCAAAGTCACCTACACTGAACACGTGGCGATTTACTGGCCATATACCGGCAGCTCGGAAACCATTAACAAAGGTATTAATAGTTGCAGCCCTTGAATAAGCTTCACACAGCAATGCTGTCATGTTATATTGGGAAATAGCCTTTCCAGGATTATTTCTTAGCCATTTTTCCACCTCTTGGGTGAAATAGGATTCCATTGGTTTAAAGAAGCTCACATCCAAGGGCTGTAAACGATGAGTCGTATGGCCCGGAAGCTGTAAGATCACCACTCCATTTTCTTTCGCCAGCTCTAACGCTTTCAAGTTTTTTGAATGGGTTGTGTGCCCATCAAGCAGTAACAAAACCTTATTGTCAATGGTAGGTTTTATTGTTTTTATGAAATGTTGCAGCCATTGTACAAATAGCTCAGAATTGATATAACCTGAGTCCGAAATTGTTACTATTGACCCGGGTAACGATCCAATCATCAGTTCGTTTGCCATTCTTTTGCGCTTGAATATTATCATAGGGGGTACACACTGCCCTGCACCGCTAGAGCAACAAACTACGGTCGTATTCACCCCACGTTCTCCACTAGACACACCACCAACTTGTTTCTTTCCTTTTGCCGCGATGATTTTTTGATTTTTTTTTTGAACCGTGGAAAATCCACTTTCATCAACGTTGAACATTGTTACAGCAGTAAATCCATGCTCATCCACCAACTTCTCCAGAATATCAAAAAACTTGTAAACATTTTCCTTATTAAATCCGCAAACTCTACTCAATGAGACCTTTTCAGGCTGCCTAAGAGATAAATTGGGGTGTCGCTTCATAAAGCCATAGTACCAAGCTTTCCCCGCTAGACCCTTTTCCTTATTGAAATTGTGAGCTACACCTTTTTTTTCAGCTAACTCAAATGCTAAGCGTCGCACGTCATGAATAGTTACCCCAAACATGAGATTTTCCAGTTTGAGGAGGTATTGAGTAAGTTCCTCTTCAATTTCAGAGGTAAAAACTGTGAGGCGGCCAATGTGTTGAATGTGCTCATTAGCTTTCCTATTTTTTGAATTCAAATGCCTTTTAAACGTTGGCTTTGGAATATTGAATTGCCGGCAACATTCATTGAGTCCTATTTTATTTTCCCTGTACGCCTTTAAAGCATGTTCCATATCTGCTTCGGTCCACTGGTTATATTTGCGTTTTTGAGCCATTAATGTTGTTCTACAACAATATAAAAAACATTCAGAACCGATCAAATATAAAAAACGCGCGAAAATCGGACAGTGCGGTAAATCGTACCGGTACGATTTATAAAACTACTTGGGGTACGATTTAACGGATCTATTCCTTCTTGGTATTTATAGTAACAATAAATCAAATTCAAACATTTACAAGATTTTGAGATATGCCAAACCACTGAGTAGTACAGAAAATCAAATAACTATTATAATAAATATGTTTTGACTCACCTTTTGCCCAAAAACAGCTTAGATGTGGATGCACAGATTAGCAACGTTCACACTGTTTAGACACAGTACCCATTTATATCGATTTGGGCGACATCTAGGTCGGAACAAATGCTTTATGGTGTTTCAAACTGTTAAAAGCATACCTTGATATGCAAAAGGTGGCGGTAAATGTTTTGCAAATATGAAAATTATTAGTGGTACGATTTAACATGCGGTACGAATTACCCTACTCTACCCTACTTGGACTTTTTGACTTTGAAAAGTCACATGTGCTAACCGCAAAAGAATATCCGATTGAAAATAAACACATTGGCACCGTTACCGCAGTTGCACAACCGCAGTTTGGCATTGCTGCGATTACCGCAGTTCAGCGTTACAACCTATGTTTAATGGTTGACGAAATGAATTGATAGACACAAATATAAAATGAAATGCTCAAAAGCTTTTTTTATTGTTTAACAAATGATAGTAAAATTGAAAAAAGTCTACATCTAAAATAATTTCCACTCTTTTATTTCCCCCATCTTTCCTTCGACTCTTTTTTTTACCAACTAACACTGTACTCTTTCCTTTTTCATCACTTTACTACACCTTCTTTCTTCTTTTGACTCGGGACGGGCCAGTCTGAGGGTCTTCGTAAGGACCCGGCTGTGAGTCTGTGGATGGACCTGGTTTTGGGTCTGTGGATGGAGCTGGTTCGCGGTCTGTGGATGGTAGGAGGACGGTAGTGGGTGGAAAACGGTTCCTTTCGTTGAGACCTCCAAGAAAGATAACGCTCCGTCACCTTTGATCTCGAAAACACGCACGTTCTACTTTCAAAAACACCATCTCAGGAGAAGGAGAAGGCCGAGGAGAAGTCATTTAATGATCAAATTAATTAAGTATTAATCCTTAATTTGTTGTGCATTTTATTAAGAATTAAAAACGGGCGATTGGGACGCGTCTGGAAGAAATATCTATTGGTGATGTCAAAACTTTAAGAGCGAATATCTCGAAAACGGTCGGTCGGAGGAAAGTATCCTCCAAGGCAAAATGAATCAACTGGGCGAGACATACCTATTGGTGAAGTCGAAGCAAATACCTTGACAACGAAGTGTCGAAAGAGGGTACTCATACAAGGCAAGTGTAACCTCAGGAGGGCACATATCTATTGGTGATGTCAAAGCTTTCAGTGCAAATATTTGCAGAATGGAGTGTCGGAGGATTTCGAATGTATACCAGGCCGTCTTTAAATGTTTAGGTGTAAAGAGCATCCTCCCCATTAATCATCTACCAAGAAAGTAACCCAACCATTTACTAAGCTATTCACTTTAAAAAATGCACTTTAGCTGCACAAGAGTTGTGTACAATTTGTACGTTTTTTATTCATGTGTGACATTTTCAACTAATTCTATGCGAAATTAAATTACTCACTCCAGGCCCTCTTAGGCATATTCTGCGCCGGGATGCGAAAGGTCATCCTGAGCCCCCCTGTCAATAGAAAAACATAAATAAACCAATTGAATATGTTGTTGAGATATAAGAATTATTCACATCCGAGCACGATAAGAGGTCGAGGAAGAGGACTATCGTTGGTAGAAATTAATTTATTTGGTTGAAACCTTTCATTAGAGTACCATAAAGGATAAAGCCACTTCAACCCCCCCCCCCCCCCCCCCATGCCAAACTCCGGCAACGGTGCCAATGAGATTATTTTCAATCGGATATTCTGATTGTACGTTGAATTTTAGTGAAATTCAACTACTCACTTGTTTGTTGTCTTTTTTCACTTTGATGCTTTTGCCGCATTTTTGTGGTTAGCACATGTGACTTTTCAAAGTCAAAAAAGTCCATGTAAATGAAAAACCAATATCACCACTTGATAAGAAATGAAAAATTATATTAAATAGATATGTCGGAACACTATTTTTGCATTTTCCAAAAGTTGCACGAAAAGTAGCCGTTTTGGCGCGGCCGCTGGCGGCGGTCTGGTTGGTCCTACAGATTTGGTTGTTACATGTTAAATGTATAAAATTTTGTGGACTACAATTTTGTATAGAATAGTTTTTCTTTTAAAACGTACCGTTTTTGAGTTATAGGCGAAAATGTAAAAATGCGGCAAATAATTTGCGGTTATTTGCGGCTGCCGCAGTTAGCTCACCTCTGGCGTGCTAGCAAAGTGAAAATTCAGATTCAGCGGTTCAAAATACATATAAAATCGTTGAGAAAAAAACTTCGGGAATTTTTTCCTAGAAACGTCAGTTCTGGAACTCCAGTTATTGTACTAAAAGGTTTGAAACAGGGTCGAAAAGTAGGGAAACTAGTAAAGTTGACTACTGTGGGTACGGTCGGAAATTTACTTCAAGTGCTACATTTACTAAAAATACACAAATCTGCGGTTATAAATTTACTGCTATATTACTGAAAATAACATCCTACTTGAATGCACGCATGCGCGAGATTTACTGCAGTTTACTCACTTTACTTCTGAAAAATACCTGGTGTAAACGAAGTAAATGTAAACACGTTTTGAGGTTATATTTTTGTGAAAGTAAAATAGTGTGAATTTTTCTGAAATATGAACATGGAGACGCGAGAATTAGTTTTAGTAGACGTCGAACACAAAAAACAATATAAACTAATGCTGAGTGTTGAAGATCATGCAAGGGCAACACAAGGTATGTTAGTATGTAAACCAAAAAAGATGCATAATTACCTACAATTGTTATGTATTCATATCAATTATATATACAATAATTATGTTACTTTGACTTACTAATATTTCTCTAACTTGTAGACATGTTTAGACAGTTTAGTGCTAGACGTCGAACTGTGCACACGTATTTAACGTACCTATACTGCATTATCGTTTAACGTTGTAGCGGCAGGCTGTGAATTCAAATGAAACTCAAATAAATATGTCCATTTTTTCAAATACTTAACATAAATGTAGTGTGGCTGTGGTGTCAATTAATAAGTTTATCGCTAAATATCCATTCATCTGTTAAATCCAGATTTACCTGGGGCTTATCTTAAGGCAAGTTTATCGGCGCCGTTATCGGTTTTAACCCGTAACAAGGACGTGTACTATATTTATTAAAATGCCGGTCGATTGTCCAAAATGCAACCGGAAAATTTTGTATGATGAAGATATTCGTTGTGGGAAATGCAAATTACCATTTCATCTCTCCTGTGTAGCGTTAACCAATTCAACAGTGGACAATTGGATCTGCGAATTATGCACCACAATGGAAATAACCCAGCCAAATACAAACAGTAACTTTGTACTGTCTGAATTTCATTTTAACTCCCTACTCCTACAGCTGTCTTCACTAACAGCCAAAATGGATGAGAATAATGCATTACTTCAAAAACAAAGTGACCAAATTAGTAAATGTGCTAGTGAAATTGTCTCCCTGAAGCATGAAAATACCCAGCTCAAAGAACGTTTATCAATACTCGAAACTCAGTCAATCCAACAGCCTCCAACTGGGGAATTAATGTATGAGCTCCGAGATAGGATTAAACGAGAAAAAAATGTTGTTATTTATAATCTCAAAGAAGCGGATAATTCAGACCCTACTCAAACCGATTATGCTGTGGTGATAAACCTACTCAAGACTATAATTTCCATTACTGAAAATGAGGTCGCGTCGGTTATGCGATTAGGGCAAACTAAAAACCCTACGAGACCTAGACCCATTAAAGTGACGCTCTCCATGCCGGAAGTCGCCATCAATATCCTAAGAAACAAATATATTCTCCAATCTTCATCGTACCGTGACGTGAAAATTCGATCGGACTTAACAAAGCAACAAACAACGCACTTAAGGCAACTGAATGAACAATTAAGACAACGAAAACTGAAAGGAGAAACCAACATCACAATTAAATACAAGAATGGCGAACCTACTATAGTGTCATCTGAAGAATCAAACAAACGAGGAAGAGAAGAATTGATTAGTCCCGCACGCCCATTCAAAGCGGCAAGGTCTACAATACCGAAATAGCAATCACAGTTCTTCTCACTAGTGTTTTGGAACTGTCAAGGATTCTCTAACTTGTTTCAATTTCTACAGGCCTCAACTTGGACTTATCAGGTAATTTGTGTGTGTGAAACCTGGTGCACTAATAAGACTTTATCTCTTCCATATCATTTCAATAGTTTTAATTATGTAGTATCACCCGCCATTAAAGAACAGTTGTTGAAAAATATAGAAGTTACTCATTTGATAAAGATATCTCCCAACTTCAATTGTCCACGTACGCATTATTTACGCGTTTTTTTTCATATGATGGTAATACGTCTAATTACCTAACCTTTAAGTTACCCATACACATGATACGATTACTTTCGCAAATAAGGCTATGCTCAAGGAAAGTGATCACCTTCAAAATACAACAAATTACCTACAGAATATACACAGACGAGATGTGCACCCTTTGTAATCTTAATGATATGGAAACTCTAGAGCACATAGTTATTAAGTGTCCTATGTTTCAACCATACCGGGATGCTTATATCAGCCATATTAAATCTGTTCAGGACCTTTTGGACAATCTTAACAACGAGTCTACACAAATCACCCGATCACTTTTTAATTTTATTACCCAAAGTCTAAGACTACGATCCTTTATCATGAATGAATAATTGTTTTCGTTTATCTTGGACCTAAATTTTTTTATTTTTTTTATTTTTTTGTATGAAGATGTACTAAAATTAAGTTAAAACTATGTAAAACTATACAGGTAGGTACATTACAATAGGTAGTTACTATTATTATTATTTTCCTTTGTAAGCTTGATTAGTGTTTGGTAGTGTAGGTATGTTAGTTTAACGCTAAACCCTGCAATAAGTTTTTTTGTTAAGAAAACTACTAAATGCAATAAAAAAAAATTATTATTAAAAATTAATCTAACTTGTAGACATGGCATTTGCATCTACTTTATTGCAACATGCTGTAATTAATGGAATGCACAATAATGCCACGGAAGATCACACGGATTCAGCTGCTGATGTCGAGGCTGCTGTGCATGATAATCCCACTGAAGGTTACACAGAACCAACTTCGCCACAAAGCGGATACGATACTGATGGTAAGTACACTGATAAGTGAAATATTTATAACAAGATTTGTACTTAGATTTATGCCGTTGGTCCTTTGAAGGAGTAACTTTGTTGTTAAACCTGTATGGAGAAAAACAGGATGTATTAGTGAAGGGGAAGGTGAAACAAAAAGCTTTTTGGAATAGTATTGCCGAATTAATGGCTAAACATGGTTATACGTACACTGCCAGTCAGTGTAAGACAAAACTTGCAACTTTGAAAAGGCAATATAAAAAGGTCAAGGACCATAATAAAGTATCGGGAAATGATAGAAAAGATTGGCCGTATTTGGAAGTAAGTATTTTGTATGGATACACATAAATATTTATGGTATTATAATTAGGCAATGGATGAAATATTTTCTTCTCAACCATGGTTAGTACCAGTTTCTTTAGCCAGTAGTAGTAGTGCGAGCGTAAATAGTGCTGCCAGTAGTAGCTCTACCAGTACATCAATTACACCTTCTACCTCAGCAACATGTGCAATAGCGAACAAAAATTCACCAAAAACGGAGGGGAAGAAAAAACAATCACCAAAAAGTATGAACTCATAAATTTAAATGTTTTATTTTTTATTTCGCTTTGTAGAGAATAGAAAATTGGTGGACATTTTAAACAAGTTGCGAGAAGATAAAGAAAAGCATCATAAAGAAAGAATGGAGAAAAGTACAGAAGCATTAAGTTTATTACGCACACTTGTTGATAACATTTCGAAAAAGTAATGATACTAATACCTAATTATTTTTATTAATGTATAATAAATTTATTTTCATTCGTATCCTCGTTATTTGTAAAAATCATGCACCAATTTGCATAGGTAATTCAGCAGCGATTACATCCCGTTTTCTTATGGCTACATCTCTTCCTCCACCATCCGGTTCTCGTGTTGCCAGTATTTCCACAGCACTTGCATTATTTGAAATAGCTACAGCTAATGGTTGAAATTGGTCTTGTTTTAAAAGGCAGATATTGTGAAGAATGCAACACGTTATGATGTACTTTGGTATAAGATCTTCTCGTGTCATTGGTAGAGTATCTAACAATCTCCGCATTCTGCCTTTGAGAAGTCCAAATGCCCTTTCGATTGCCATTCTTGTAGATGAGTGACACATGTTAAAATTTTTTTGTATGTCTGTTAAATGACCATTGTCTTTAAATGGTACCATAAGATGCTTATGCAACTTATATGCTGCGTCTCCCAAAATGTGTACATCATCTGGAAATTGTGTGTCATTTCTAAAAAATTCTGGTAAATCCGAGTTTTGGAATACTCGCTGATCATGGACAGCTCCCGGATATCCAGTGAAACAATGAATAAACATTCCATTTTCGTTACAGACGGCCTACAATAAAAGTAGTAAGCTAACAGCTAACTACACAAGCATGTACCTGCAGAAAATAACTACCTACCTGTAATTGCATTGAATGATACCCTTTTCGATTCACATAAGCTTCTGCATTATTCTTAGGAGCAGTTATGCTAATATGGGTGCCATCAATTGCACCTATAACATTTGGAAAGCCTTTTACAGCTCGAAATACTCTTATACTTGTTTCCATTTCATCTGCTATTGGCCATTTTATAAATGTATGTACATGATCATTTACTACTCTTCTTACGGAGATAACGGCAGTTGCTTTTCCGACATTAAAACGATCCGATACAGATCTATTAAAAGGTCATTGAAAATAGGTAGATAAAAGTAGAAACTGTAGACCCACCTATAGGAATCAGGTGTTCCAAGAATCCACAACGTAAGCAGCAATTGTGTTTCTGGGGATACACTTGGTCGTCCAGGTTTTACCACGTTTTCACTAATTTTTGGTCCAATTAAAGACAAAATAAAGTCAAATGTTTTTCGTTGCATTCTACAAATATTACAATTAGTGACTTAATACTTTAATTGACCTTATTCTTATTGTATAGTAGGCTAACAACGACCCACTATACAAACACAGACAGCCGTGCTGTACCAGAGGCTTACTTGGGATTTGAAACCCCAGAACCCTTGTAACACACAGTTTGAACTAACTATATAACTCCATACCTACCTAAAATGTGATTGGAATTGATCATCTGAATATAAATGAACCACATTTTCCACATAATGTTCAATTCTCGTTAAACGAGTGGAATCACTCACATTCATCAAATGTGTTAATACTAGAAATTCATCATCATCAGAACTTGAATCGTCCAAAATACTCAAAATATTATTAACAATTAAAGGAACTATACTTTCAGAATCCATTGTGGCAATAAGGCAATATACACAATAGAGAATAATTGAGGTTAAGTAGGTATCAGTTGTCAAAAGCATATAATTGCAAAACAAGCGGTCGAAAATTATTACAGCATCTTCAGTATTTTGAGTAAAATTTAATAAATAACCGCTTTACTGCGATTGCATTACTTTAATTACTGATACTTTTTGAAGTAAATTTCCGACCGTACCCTGTATATACCTTTTTAAAAATCATGTATGACGTTTGCATTGTGCGGAGGTACAAATTACCACTCATACCCTATTTCTAATTATGTTTCCTTCATAAGAAAATTTTTTTGGGGACGTTTACCGTAAGTAATAGGTAAAACAATAAAATGAATAAAATGGCAGAATATGATGCATCAAAAATTCGCATGAGAGAACTTTTTTCAATTTATCTTATATGGCGGTAATGCTTTTATGCGTTATAGTTTGATTTTAAAAACAGAAAAAGCCGTGCATGGCGTTTATATCCGTGATTCAATTTGAGTAATTTTGCGCCCCTTCTTGTCTGCGCCTCGCCGTAAGTGAAGAGTTACACCGCTTACGCCTAAGCCGACCCTGTTCGTCCGAACAATGCGAATGCATTATTGCAAACCGCAGTTACTCTCTGTATCCGCTCGATGAAGAATTTTGATGTTAAGAGGTTGGCGAACTGAACAAATTATATGTGGCAGCACTGGTTTGCGCTATGTGATTGGCCGATTGGAGGATTGCGGGACGACAACGGCTTGTCTTCGCCTTCGGCTGCATGCTGCATTGCCTGCATTTCAAGTTCAACTGCATTCTGCAATCGAAGCGTGGTTGGTGATGGCGAGGCGATGTTTCTGTTTAGTTTTTGTCGGTTAGTGTGAATGTTATGGCCATTTTTAATTTCCTGCTGTCCTTAAAACGAAACTATTAGGTAAGAGTGTATTTTATTATAGAATTTGTAATTCTCCGTTATAAATCTGCGAATGTGCGCAATTACATAGCCGGCTTGCTGACAAAAAGTTTGTTCATCGGAATAAACTACAAGAACTGGTATCTGTTATACTACGCCATAACTTTATTAGGTATCAAACAAAAGCAAAGCAACCGCCTGCGTCTTAATCGGATTTTTGCAAGCTTACGATTTTGCCTAATTGTGCTGCAGTTGCATTAATTCCGTTGCACATTTTTGTCGTTTACGATTGATGAAGTACTGCAGTTTACAGGTTTTATTGTGCAATCAAGGTGACCCAAGGAAACGACGAAATGTAAGCATTGGATTTGAAATCGTTGAAATGCATAATTACGCACGTGGTGTAAAAAGAAATGGAAAACTTTTTTGTTGCAGTGTTGCACGTGATAAAAGTAGAACATGTTGATTTTGCCAAGAACGACAATGTATTTAAATAATGTGCCCAATATTTGAGGTAAATTTAATGATGCGAGCAATGAAAAACATTTGTGGGGTTATTAAACTTAGTTTGGTTATGATAGGTTTTCATTACCAATTTACTATTGTTGTCTGTGTTACAGGTGGGCATTTTACAATAAACAATAATGCAAGAGAGCTGTGTAGTCCTTCCACTGTACCATCCGCTAGTAACAAACCATTCTCGGGGCGTTGTGAATATCCAGACTGATCTTGACCTTAACAAGAAAGCCCATGCAAATGATGCAACTTAAAATGTAAGTTTTCACGCTTATCTTATAATAATAACATAAAAGCCGTGATAGAATTGGTTCTCTTGCGCGAGTTGTTGTCTGACAGCACTGTTGAGGTATAAAAACCACCGTAAGTTGCGACAATAAAACTGTCTGGTTGAAACGTATACGAGACCTTTTGGGCGAGTGACATTGTCACTCGACAGTGCTATCAGACAGCAACTTGCATAAGAAAACTTGCTAGTCTATCCTCGCCTTAAAGGTAGCGAGACTAATTGACATCTATCGAAAAAGGCAAGACCTTGAACGAATTGTAATTTTTGGTCGAAGTTCCAAACTCGGCCAGGTGGTATTTTTCTTGGATGAACCATAAGTTTTACATGGATGCATTTTTGATTTAATGTTAGTGTTAAGCTTTGCTCTCTTTAATTTCCACTAACCTCAAAAGAATTGTGTGAACTTGGAAGTGCTTGTTTTACTTTTGCATTGCTTTTTCGGAATTGCAAGTTATTCGTTAATCAATGAGGGGTCATCCACCAAGCAAAATAGTGTAGGGGAAAGTGGGGTACATTAAGCCATTTGTTTTACTGAAATATGTTTTTGCATTTTGTATGTTAAATGTTTCTAGAACATAGATTGTAATGCCTTCACAATATTTGGAAAAGAAGTCTAATTTTGGAAATAAAATAAATCTTAAATCTATTTTTGGACCTAAACTGCCTCCTAGTAAAGTAAATGCACCTATAACGGGTCGCTTAAGGACGTTCACCCATATTTCTCTCGAAGTAGAACAATGACAAATGATGGCAAGCCAGATTCTAATTCGATCATCTTTTGTTTATAATAAACAATGGATATGTCGCAGGCTTATTGCAAAATCAGTCTTATTATAATACACCTAGGCTTTTTCAATACGACCAGGCGAATTGTGAAACGACACGAAAAATTGGGAATCTCACAATTTGACTGATAATTTTTAGGCGTATTATGATTCGCCTGCAGCTTGTTAGTCTTACTGTTAAAAGAGAACCTGTTTTACAATACGACTACTTGAAATCCGCCGTATTAGAATACGGCTGGCGGTACGTCAGGCAAATTGTATTTAATCATTCACTTTAAAGAGGTTTAAACAATTTAAAAAAATAATTATAGATTTGGATTATTTATTTATTACAGCATGGTCCGCTTTTATGACATTTGCTAGTACATTGCATATGAGCTTTAAAACATAAATATTTATTACTGCGACACTGTACTTTGCTTGGTTTGCATGAACACTTTTTAAACCCCTGTCCTTCGAATTTTTAACATAATCTTAGAGCTTCTCTCAAGGAAATTGCTTTCCCTTCCGGAATATTAGTAATTACTTCATTGGTTGGTCTAGCTCTCCATAATATTTGTTTTTATCTACGAACACGTTGCATAAATTAACACTCATTTCAAGTACAAATGTTTAGCACTAATATCACTTAAAATTCTGTAGGTGCACAAAACAAAACACCTAATTATTAGCACTGTGGATTGTTTTTAATGTGCCTGACGTACCGCCAGCCGCCAGCCGTATTCTAATACGGCGGATTTCAAGTAGTCGTATTGTAAAACAGGTTCTCTTTTAACAGTAAGACTAACAAGCTGCAGGCGAATCATAATACGCCTAAAAATTTTCAGTCAAATTGTGAGATTCCCAATTTTTCGTGTCGTTTCACAATTCGCCTGGTCGTATTGAAAAAGCCTAGGTGTATTATAATAAGACTGATTTTGCAATAAGCCTACGACAGATATAACGTTAAAATGCACCTTTTAAAGTACGTACCAGTAGATAATTCTAAACACTCTCGGGAGCATGTACAAATAATGAACACCCCTTATATGTGATGAACCAATAATGGACCCCCCCAATGTTGGAATGATTTTATATACTATTTAAACCTGGATTTCGACAAGAAATGTTAATAAATTTTTGAGAATATTAAATTGGTATTTTAAGAAATTGTGGGTTTGGTTTTACATAAAATACACAGTCGTGCAAAGAGTATTATAATACATAAACAAGTTTCCAGTTTCCAACTTTGGGTTTACTTTCAAATCAGTCGTCTACATCTTCCAATTCTAATGCCACGTTAATATCTTCTGCTCGCGCTTCCGGTTCACTATGTTGACCTTCTTGTCTTGTAGTTTCTTCTGTGGTTGATGTATTTTCTTTGGCGATGCTTTTCCAGATTTTATAAAGGCCTTACATCTTCATGTGCACTTTTCCAGCTTGATTCTTCTGTTAAACACTTTCTGAATTGAGTTAAACTTGTTTGGGCCAATTTTTCCTTCAAAAGCTTCAGTAGATTCCTAAGGGATATTTGGAGTTTTTTTGATTGTGTAACAGGAGTAGTGTGCTTGGAAATTTTTTCGAACTGAACATTTCTCATTCCAAACGGACATAAACATTCTTAATTGTTTCTTGGCTAATATGAGATAAAGCTTTCTCAAACATTTTCACGAAATTCTGTTTTTGAATTCTAGTTGAATTTTCAATCTTCCAAGTTTGCACCTCATTTTTTGTAGGCAAGCTTTAGGGGTCTAGACCCCGCAACGTCCAATGGTTGCAGAAGTAGAATTTGCGAGAGAATTTGGGTATAGAGCACCTAATTCTATGCCATTACTAGCACAGAAATTAGACAAATGAAAAGTTAAATATGATGAATGACCGGTTTTTCGAGCCAAGGGTTAAGTGGTTATGTGGTTTTCCGAATTTTCATTGGTTTTAATGGTTTTTATTCCGTCCCATTCTTACACATTTGTACCTACTGCTTACCCACTTAAAATTAAACTTTAAATTTCTTTAGGTGAAATAAGTTCTTACACAATCTAACTGAGAATTCTACCGAGTATCATTTGGAATTTGGGGCATTTTCCCATTTTTCTCACGTAGCCAACAATACATTTGATGATGATTTTTCCCTCGATTTTTCCAATAAGTTTGTATTTCAATAATATGTTTCATTACTGTTTTTGGTGAAATAACAGTTGCTATACGCTGTCCACCCAACAGAAATAGTTAAGCCACTCCTACAAAATTTGGGCCAATGTAAGCAGCAACCAGTTTTACAACCACAAAATTATAAAAAGCGGAAAATTTGAAAAATCAAATTGAAATGTCACTTGCTCAAGACTAATTATGGCGCTATCTCTCTGAACATAACTCGTGGCAAAAATAGTAAAACCTGCAAACTGTTAAATACATGTAAATATGCACCATAAAAACATTGTTTATATTGAGAAAAGTACAAAAAAGTATTATTACAGCAGCACAAAGTTTTGAAATTACAAGTGCACTTGAATATAAACAAAGGTACATAACAATTTAAATCCTGTATCGCTTCACTCGGATTCGGACTCCGTTGATGTCGAGTCATCTCCCACATGAATTACTAATGGCTCCACTACGATGTCCATTAAAATGTCAATTTGCCACATTTTTTCCTCTTCACTTTGAGCATGGCGAATTGCGTTCTTCCAATTTTCAGCAGTAACATGTTCCACTGCTTGTTGAAATAGTGGACGTGTAACACTGCCAAAACTTTACTCAGGGTAGGTGGTTTATTTCTTTCAAAGAAAGAATGAAGCAAACGTCAAAGAATACTTTTAGTTCCGGAATCAATATTGTCCAAAATTGTTCGTGGTCGATAATATTTTTTAGGTGAATGAAGTTCGTGTACCTCTGTATACTCCCGAAGAATCTTGTAGACACTCGGAATGCTTACACCTAAATTACACAATAATAAGTAAAAATAAATGTGCCTAAGATGAAAATTACCTGCTGCTTTAGCCGTAAACTCAACTTTATCCGTTTTAGATACCTCCTGGTTGTCTTCCGAATATGCCTTGAAGATATTTAAAATGCCAGTTTTGTCTTCAACTGAAAAGTGCTTGGCAGAACGTTTTTTCGGTGGAGAGAAAGCAGCACCGGCGACATTCATGTTTGCGTACAACTTTTCTAAAAACAGGCATGTAAAAATCGTGTATAAAATTTTATAATAAAACTCACCTGACTATCTTTAGAATACACCGACGAGTCTTTATAAAGATTATTTTGTGTGAATAAAGGAGATTAATGGCAAATTGACGCAAGTAAAGATGTAAAAACGTAAAAACCGGCAGAAACGCAATAGGCAAGATGACAGATGACAGATTACCCAATTCGGCCAATTCGCTTTACAAGTGTGATTGTGGCTTCAAAAATTACACCAATAACAATGTCGTATTCAAATGTGGCGGTAATTGTTGAGGAGGGGCTTAACTATTTCTGTTGGGTGAACGAACTATAGTAGATTCAGAGCTGCATCCATACATAGACATTTCAGGATACGTTTCCCGTAGCTAAATCATAAAATGGTTGTTTTAGTATGCTTAAATTTAGTGTTAGTTTCACATTTCAAATGGTGTGGGATATGATTGCAGAATTTAATGAAAATCCATTATTATGCTGTAAAGAAAACCAGACATGCAGATTTTGTTTTTATTTATTTCTTATGTTATTTGAACAGATACAAAAATATAAACACTTTCTCATTGCTACTATGTATTTGAACTCTGCAAGACAGTGTTGAAGGATTTTCGTTTCTGAGAAATCAACTTTGTTTTTTTATATGGCACTTTAAAAAAGCACACTCTGTATTGTGTACCGTAAAACGGGGTGACTTGAAAACGATTTGAGATACTTTGGCCTGTAAAAAAGTTGCTCTTAATGCTAGACCTACCAAAAATATGCCAAATTGATCGTTTTGGCTTCATGGTTCAGCTGATATCTTTGTTGTTGAAATAATTGATCCTAAAAAAAATTATTTATGTCTATTTTCAAGTCACCCCAGGATGGGGTTACTTGAAAAACAAACGTTGGATTTCAAATGTTTTTTTAAAGTATATCATCTCTGGGGGCTACTTGAAAACCAAATTTAAAAAAAAAATAGAAATTTATCAATTTCCCACATTTAATAAGGTAGATAGAAAAGAAAAAATTTATTTAACAACAAACAGAAACATAATTCTTCGACAACTATAAAATCAGGCCTTATTTACCTACTTCAACTTATTGCACAAAAAAAAACAACAAGTTAAAAAGTAATCGTAAACGATTTACATAAAGCGCATTTCCACTTGCATTCATTTCCCATTTGTAAGATGCAACTTCTATAAAATCGTAAAAATCCGGCCACAAATATGAAAGATAGCGCTGCACATGGGCAATCCATTTTTGTCGTGCTACTTAACGTTGGGCAAAAAAATCGATTAATCGATTATAATCAAACGATAATCGATAATCGGGTTTGATTATTCTATTAAATTAATCGATTATTTGATTAATCGATTGTTTGATTAATCGATTATTTGATTAATCGGTTATTTGATTAATCGATTGTTTGATTAATCAATTATTAAGTAAATTTTAATTGATTATTATTAGCTGGATCATCAGTTTACGCAAAAAGGAGCACTCACAGCTCACAAGTATTATTTTATTTTATAGCGGATGTTAAAACGTCACTTTAAGCAGCTAAAATGAATTAAGATTGTATCATCAAAACTAAAGCACACCTCATCGGAGAGTAAGCTGCCTAATCATTTATTTTTATTTATTTATTTTTATTTTTGACCTTCATTTTCAAATGGACAGGGTTTCAGCCAAGGCTGTTCTACCAACCAACCCACTATGCATTTGCAAATATCCATGCCCGAACCCGGATTCGAACCAGGGACACTTTGTTGATTATTGATTAATCGATCTGCCTAGTAATGAACGATTTGATGAAAAGAGTAATGGAATTATTTTTTATTTTTATTATTAAATAATTAACGTATTAATGCATACAAACAGATATTTATCACTCCTTGTATGTGACAATCGACTTTTGATTAAACGATTAGGTGATTAATCGATTATTTGATTAATCGATTATTTGATTAATCGATTATTTGATTAATCGGTTATTTTTGATTAATCGATTATTTGATTAATCGATTAATCAGTGTAATCGATTATTTTTCATAATCGATTATCGATTATTCAAACCCGTAATCGCCCAGCCCTA